TTTCAAAATTCTTGGTATAGTTTGATAGCAAGCTCCATAAGCTTTAATTTGATATAGGGGTTTAGGTATCTACAGCTTAAACTGCACGCGCTACATAGCCTGCGCGCGAGACACCCCTGAAGGTATACTGTAACCTTAAGTAAGATTTGTTTTAGCCTTGCAGTGTAACTGATAAACTGACCTTTCTTTCCCTGAATTCTTTGATCTTCCTGGCAACTGCCATAAAAGCCTGAAAGTAACACATTTTATATTTCACCTAAAACTACAGATTAAATGCATTAAAAACAAATTGCTGCATAATTTGATGTGCAGGGAGGAATACATAAGAATGAGACATAATGATGCCATGATATAATTTGACTGCAAATTAATCAGGCCAAAATCAATTTGCTTACAACACAGGGATTGCTCTACCCACAGAGGATATGGTACTCTGTATAGAATCAGGTGAGTTTGTGCCCTTTGCCCTATACCATACCATGTTCAGCTGCAGCTGGAAACCCACAGTACATATTAGCAACCAAGTGGGAGCGTGGGAGCAGTTCCATGCATTGATATTTATCATCTATATGGGTGCAAGTATGTGTCACTGGGTAGGGTTTTCTGGTAGATCAGTCTGGAATAGTGTGCTGATGCTAAAAGTAAGGGGTTCTGTGAAACAGGGTGTCATTTAATGCCAGGAAACTGATCAGTCAGGTCGGTATGATCAGTTCAGTCCAGACTAGGAATTGAGTTTGAAATTGAAAGAACCTTACTAATTGATGCATTGACAATGCATACCATTTTATGACAACTTTACAAGCAACTGACTGTGGTTAGTGGAATAGTTTCAGAGACATAGTGACCCTGGAATAGGGTAGGAAGTTTTGACATCTACTGAAGTATAAAAGTGCAGATCTTCACTGAATGGGATGTATTTGTTCCAAGTGGCAAAGATTTTGGAACGCTTAATATTCTTCTCACCTCTGTCACATTTTCTCCTGACCGCGCACTGGTTTCAAAAAATTCTAGTTCTGAATCAGAATTTTCAGTTATCTGAAAGAAAGAGAGAAAAATTAACACTCTTGCTATTCACACATTCCAGTTAGAAAATTAGATAGTACATTAGGTAGTCAGGCAATTTGTAAATTTAATGCACTGAGAACTCTGAAGTACTAAACAAATTTGATCTTACTAATTTTCCTCTTGAACTCTCTATGACTCTCTCATCTTCAGCATCCACCTTGTTACCCACTAGAACTTTACAAACATCCGGTGAAGCATTCTGCAAAGAAAGCATCATGAGATGTGAGGTGAGGCTCTCAGTTTAATGTGGCTAAATGTAATTTAGGCATAGTTAAAATCAAGACAATGCAGGTAGTGGTCCTCATCATGGCAGCTCACCTCTGCCGTGGGGTTGCCCGGTAAGTGACAGGGCTTGACTTTTGTACAGTTCTGGTTTCTGTGAGACATTGTGCAATCACTTGTGTTCTTGCATTTGCTAGCTTTCGTGCTGTTCTGTCCCTCCCTTCCCCTCTCCTCTTAGTAAGTATTAATTCATCTCCACTGAATTGTCATTGTGACGGTGCCAGATGGTGGTTGCCGCTCACAGGGCTGCCAGGGATACCCTGGCGCTTGCCCCTATGCTCTCAGTCCCACCATCCTTCCAGGCACCAACCCCCAACCTCATCTATTGTTGATGATTTTAATGTCAGATGTAACCATCTGAGTTGTCGAAAAATAGATACATGACTGAGACATACTAGACTCAGCTCATCCTTACCAGTCAAATAGATGTGTGGCTCTCAGGATGAGAACTGACACCAACCCTCATCAATTGTTGTTCTTGAACAATATGGTGGAGTCTAGCTGTCACATTGTGTTTGCAATATTTTAATAGAAGTTTGGGTCATACGGAGTTAAGACTGGTTGACTTTCTTGTACTTACAGTGTATGCTTGATTTATGTCACCCGCATCCTCACTGTGACATGAAAGTACAGCATACATGTATGTTCATGCAGGCATAAGAAGAAAGACAGGTTTAATCTGCTCAGTTGTTCTCATACGTGTGCATAAGTTCAGGTGTCCTCTGACTGGCTCAATATGCTTGTGCTTATTTGCCATAGGACTTACAACTGTTAATTGTTGGCTATACATGTACTTACATCCTGAATATTCTGTAGCCACTGTGCTATGTGTTTAAACGAATCCTCAGTGGTGATGTCATACACTAAAATAATACCCTGAAATTGACAAAAAGCATACACGTATATAGAGTTAATTATCACTTGAACGGAAAGTACACGTGTGTTGCAAACTTTGAATTTAACAATGGGCCTGAATCACCTTCCCATTAAAGTACATGTAACTATTTTCCAGTAATAATCATCAGTCCTTAATTGGACCATGCAACACATCAGGCCTCTCTATAATGACCAATATTTTTCATTGTAGTGTCCAAATTGGCCACTGTGAAGTTGTTTTATAAACAAGTTACAGCTGGGATGGCCATTTTATCAATTTATAGATCTCCACAATATCTGTGTATTCACTCACTAATTATAAGTTCTACGTAAAGATGTAGTGCCAGAAAATATCTCAGCATACCAGGGAAGGTCATTGGAAATTTTTTCAGGATAGTGGGGAGAAATTTCCAGTGTAGCAGGAGGGCTTAACCCAAAAAACCTTCCACTGGGTGTCTGGGCATTTTGTGGAACAACACAAGGTATAGATACCATTGCTCCTCTGTAATATGCACTGGTGAGAGTTCTGAACCTTTCCTGACCAGCTGTGTCCCTGGTTATGACAAAAAGATAACATGTACAGTGCTTTCAATGAGATTTGAAGAAAGTACAGGTACAGCTGCCCTGGTGTGCCCAGTACCTGTCCGAGAGCAATAAGAGGAGTCCATAACAACCTCCTCTTAAAGACTAATTTTTAAAACTGTTAACACTTTTTTTTAATATCACTTGCAATAAACAAATTTCCGAATACTCGCCAGGGCTTCTGCANATATCACTTGTAATAAACAAATTTCCGAATACTCGCCAGGGCTTCTGCAGTTGCCAGGTCTTACTGTAAGCATCACATAAAAAGATCCAAGTCAGAAGGCATGTTAAATGATGGGGCCAAAACCAGATAGACTCAGATCAGTACTACCTCCCATAAATAACAACACAAGGGGGAAAAGGGCGGGGGGCAAAGGAGAGGAAAAGGGGATAGAGAGCCAGGGGTAAAGTGAGTGAGAAGTCTGGGGGAAACAAAAAAATTCACAGTTTTGTATATATTATTAAATATGTTGCAAGAGAACAGGAAAGTGGGTAGTTCAGACCGTCAGAGCCCTTCCCATGACATCAATTCAGGGTTCCAGATTAGTTTTCAAGGTAGGGTGTCAAAAAGGAAATTCCAGTGGATCAGTTCCCAAGCTGCACCCAACAAATCATTATACATTTCGTAGTAATATTTTCGGTTCATGTAGCTGATCTTGGCAGGTTTTTGACCCGAGACCCCTCACTTACAGTCTGGAACACTGTAATTATGACAGAAAATTAACATTGTTATAACTGTAGCATGACATTTAACACCAGAGTTTGTTACATTTGTAACCCTGAGTACATACTGTATACATGTACATGTATAGCATAAGATTTTGGGTTAATCAATTCAGTCTGTGATAAGAGCTATCAAAAGAGCCTTGGCCAGAAATAAAGGCAAGTTTAAGAACAGTATCCTACAACAATTTATAAGGTGCCCAGCAGCCTTCAATCAAAAGCAAATGCATATAATATTAATTACTTGTAGGTCTTATTCTGTAAAATAACAAAAACAAAGAAACACGTCTTGTTTAATATTTAATAAAAATGTTTTTAGAGATTTCTTTCTATGGGTTAAAGAATGCATCCATGGATTTATTCAGGGGAGAAGCATTTTGATTCCTGTACATGTGACACACTAAGCTGTACCTGATAGTTTGGAGTACATGTCAAAACATATAGATCTAAGCTGATCGATCATGAAAGAGTACTATAGTGAATATGTCGGTCTTGAAGTCTTTCATGACTATTAATTATTAATTAATAACTAGAACTAATGAGTAGAACTTGTGTGTTTAATAGCTTACCAGATTTGGAGGCGCACTTTTGTTCCATCTAGATTTACAACTCGACTTCTACAGTCAATACCTTGAACAACAAGAAATTGATGGTACACTATGCTATCATTTTATTATTTGTTTGTCTTTTCATTAATACTCACTGGCAGAGGCTTATCACCAGGGTTAAACGCTTTAAGGTGATATGCTTCTGTCACTGGTAATAAACTAGTATTACAAACCTTAAGTTGTCTATCATTCTGTTTACAGGTATGGCTGTCAACTGTCATGCACTATTCAACAATTAGACCTTTCTTTGAGCTGATAGTCAACGTGGCACTCTAAGCCGAGTTGAGGTACTATCCTCATAGAAAATAAGAGCGAGAATTCTAATTGTTGTAGTATAAATAACATAACATGTAAGCTTAACCTTTAAATTTGAGGATCTAATTTTAAATCTGTTCCGGTCTAGAGCTCTAGCGAGACTATTTCTGCAAGAAGAATTCAAACTAATTCTGAAACAAACATCAAGAAAATCAAGCTGCAAGCTGATCGATATTCCTAGTTGGAAAACGAAAACAGAAAATTAACAAACAATGAGCTTATATTGTGTAGGAGATTGTTCTTTCTAGTATTGTTGTTGTTGTATTGAAGCTGAAAGGTGCAGGTCGAGAGAAGAGCCTAAATATTTTTGTGAATGGAAAACGCCAAATTTTTCTGTGAAAATGTTTCTGAGCGGAAAAAGAAAATAGACAAAGCGAGGACACCTCCAGAACAACCAACAAGCTTATAGGGAAAACACTACACTCTTACTCTAAACAATATTAGCCTCTCTAGCTTGCTATTTTAGAGTCCACTTCAACTCGCGAGCCGATACAATGACGCAGAAATTTACAATACAAGTTTTGTTATGATCAATCTCTGTTCTCACTTTGGATGTTTACACGTGGCCAAGTTCAAACTTTAAGTCTCTTTGACCGATTGGTGGGAATGGCCGCCCAAAATTTTTGGGAGAAGTTAAGCTCTAGTCTTAAGTGATTTCAGCTCAGCTTTAGCTCAAAGCGGAAAAATCTACTAGCTAGACTTGCAAAACAGCTTACCAATCGTTGAAATATACGAGTCAGAAAATACATCCTCTATGAATCTAAAGATCAGACAGGTTTTTCCAACACCGCTATCCCCAAGAATAAGAATTTTGTATGTTGCTTCGTACTCTTTCTCTCCCATAACGTAACGAAGATGCAAACAATTCACAGGATATAAAAAACCGAGTACGGAAGTGGAGACTCGTCCCAGACTGGCACGTTCCTCACGCCTGGTTACTCTGAGTTTGGAAATGCGCAAGCGCAGTTTGGGTCTGTTTGCCACGCCTGCCCAGTTCAACAGTCGTAAAGTCGGAAAGACGGAACAACGATTTTCACTTTAGCACTGTTCTGGAATGGCAAAGACATATGATTTCCTCTTTAAATTATTACTGATAGGAGATTCAGGCGTTGGCAAGACTTGTGTGTTGTTCCGATTTTCCGAGGATGCCTTTAATTCCACATTCATTTCCACCATAGGTCGGTGAACTTCAGAAGCCGTGCAAAGTTTGCCTGTTGCTTTATGTGAATTGCTGGAGAATTTAACTGGCTTCGTGTGATCAAGCTGTCTCGTCAGGTCAAGACATTTAACACTTCTTTTTGTGGCTTTCAGGCATTGATTTTAAAATAAGGACAATAGAATTAGATGGAAAGAAGATAAAGCTTCAGATATGGTGAGTAAAATTTCTCCTTGCCCATCTATGAAGCGTTATTAGATTGTCAACTCCACACTCCAGAACGAAGCAGATTTTTGTTGTCATTGTATGACCCAATGCACTGCTCTTTTCCTTATAAAGCCGCTCATCCCGAATCTATGTTACCTGTAGCGCTTAGAATTGACTCTAACTTTTTGTTGAATTCTTTGGTTTAATTCAAAATCGGCAGACGTCTGACGGATGAGACATACAATGTAGGCATTAGTAATTTGCCTAAACAAGCATTTTGTCGATTTTGTGGTTGTTTTCAATTCGCTAAGTAACTTAACTCCATTGTCAGACCTGCTGTAAATGTCGTGCATTCCAGATCTATTTTTCTGTAGCTAAGAAAATCAGTAAGAGCGTGTACAGGAACTTTATGTAGAAATTGCCACACAGCTTGTTAAAATTAGTAGGGTTGAGACTTGTATCTTCATTTTCAAGGTATTATTTCTGACCTGAATTTACTTTTCTTGATTATTATAAATAAGGTGGACATTATTATGAGATGTATGATGAATTTATCTTTAAAGACCTCTTTAAGTACTTACATAGCTTTATGGCCTCTGTCAAGCCAGTGCTGTGCCAGCATCTTCCTTATCACATTAACTAAAGATAATTTTTGGAAATGATGGGAAGTAAGCATGTGATTGTCACTAATTAATTACTTTATCATATGACCCAGGTTTGTCAAAAGTAGGTGGCTGCCAGTGAAAATCACCATCTACTGCTTTATGATCTTAGCCAGCTATTCTTCTAGGTTGCCCTAAATAGAATAAATGAATGAATGAATAAATAAGTGAATGAATACAAAAAATTACAATATTTAGAGAGGAAGCTGCATCAGCCTCAGCTGGTTTTCATGCGGGTCCTTTATGCTGGTTGAATTGGAATTTGGAGATATCAGTTTTTTTGGAGGTAGAAAAACTGCAGAATCTGGAGAAAAACCCTTGGAGCAAGGCAAGAACCAACAACAAAATTGACCCACATATGGCACCGGGCTGGAATCGAACCCAGGCCTCATTGGTGGGAGGCGAGCGTTCTCACTACTTCGCCATCCCTGCTCCCCTGCTCCCCTCCTCATATCATTAGAAAAAATTACAATGTCAGCCACCTTCTCCAAAAGATAAAGCTACTTACCAGTAATTGATAACTTTGTGACAAACCTGCATTACCACTTTTGCTCAGGCCTCTTAGACAAAGAGATACTTTGATTAACAAATAATCTTAGGCTGGTGGATTTGTCCATCAGATAATTGAACCTTATCCATCTCTTATCTGGTGGGCAAACAACATTTTGGGACTTCATAGTATAGATTTGGACGTTCAAAGAGGCTCCAGCTTGGTTAAAGTCCCTATTCGTGACACCATTATCATTGGATTTTTTTTTGTCATAAACTGTGTGCAGTAAGTTGTAGTTATATTAAATGTCCCTGACAGAAAAAGGTTACTAGCATAAACCACAAATGGTACCACCATAAGGAATAAAGGAGACTGAATTAATGTGTGTTATTCAAGACCTTCTCTTTGTTACATTGATTGATCACAGCTCAGTGCTGATCTTGTTAAATTCTAGTGCTTTAGACTTAAAGAATAAACATGGCACTAAAACATATAGTTTATGTACACAATTTTGTGTACAATTACTCTGAATATGAGCAGGAGTTTACATTTAGTTCACACTTTTTCCAGAATATCTCTGGGCTATATTGTTACTTAATGGTTTATACATTTTTCTCAACAACCTTTATTCATTTGGTATTTAGAGAAAACAGAGAAAGTAATTTTGGTCGTGAGAGTTTGTCCCTAGTAAACACTCTGATCTACATTGGTAGCCACAAAAACTTGTACCACATGATATTAGAGTTTACTTCTGTAGAAGCTGATGGGTTATTATGTATGTTCTTGGCTTTTAGGGACACAGCTGGCCAGGAGAGGTTCCGAACCATCACCACCGCTTACTACCGTGGTGCAATGGTAAGGCAAATGTAAACTTTAAAAATTTTTATGGGGCTAAATGTAATTTAAGAGAAGTTTGAGTCGAGGCAATGCTGGCCAGCGATCAGGGCAATCATGCTCGGTGGGGTCTCATACAGGGTTTTATATGGTTAAATGAAATTTAACATAGTTAATGACTAGAAGCTAGTCTGGTAAGTAGCGTTTTTATAGGCGGTTGTTAGTGTCTTGGCCATCTGTGAGCGTTTGGTTAGCGTTTGGTGCATTCTGTAGCGTTTGATATAGTTCAGTGAAATTTTACATAGTTTATGACCAGGAGCTAGTCTGGTCAGTAGCGTTTTTTGTAGGCGTGTGATAGTGCCTTAGCCATCTGTTAGCTTTTTTTTAGCGTTTGGTACGTTCTGTAGCATTTGCAGCAGTCATATGGTCGTGAGAGCCCTGGGGCTGACATTGTCCAGTGGTATTTTTGGTTAGTACGTGTGTTGTCGTCCCACGTGCTCGCAGTGTGTTCATCGCTCTGTTAGTGAGGCGTTGTGGATTGAATTATAGTTTAGCAGTTCTCGGCGTTCCCTCCCTATTCCCCCCCTCTTTTCAGCATTTTTTTTTTTCCACCAATGCCATCTGGCTTGAGTGTGATGGGTGCCTGTAGGGGGCTTGGCGCGGGGGGCTCGTGGCTTAGTTGCGGGTTGGGCAGGCCAGTCGGGTGTTCTAGCGCCTTGGGGATGTGACTGCAGTTGCAGCCCCCAGGCTTTGTAGGCACCTTCCCTCCACTAGCGACTTGGGCGTTAAGCAGGGCTTACGTGTTTTACTTGCCAGCTGTGTGAGAACATGTAGTTTGCTTTTGAGTGCCATTCATGCCTGTTGAGTGCTTTTGCTCCCTCACCTCCCTCCCTTTCGCTGGCGACGGTAAGTGGTGGTAAGTATCTCCACTGACTCTGTTAGTGTAGCAGTGCCTGGTGGTTGCCACTCTCAGGGTTGCCATAGATACTTGCATACTCTGCTTGAGACGCATATCTTGGCTCCACCATCCGTAGGGCACCTTTCCTAAGTTCATCAGTTGGCGATGATTTTTATGTCAGTTAAAAAAATATTGCCAAAGAATGTTGATTTACATACACTTTGTGCTTTGATAACTAGGGAATCATGCTTGTGTATGACATCACAAATGATAAATCCTTTGAGAATATCAAGAACTGGATCAGAAATATTGAAGAGGTGAGCACTGTTAATTTAGGTTTTAACGTGCATTTAGATTATAGCTAAAAGTTTAAGAACTGTCAAATAACACCTATGTGGGTATAGACTTTTGTAAAATGTATTTGCTGTGGACAGCCTACAGGGTACAAGCCCAGGGATGTACTTTGGGAATTTCTGGGTGGGGATGCCGCTGTCATCCCTGGAACCCTTAGCCTATACCAGAGCTAGTTCAGCTGAATTTTTCCAGCCTATACTAGAGTAAAATCCTCGAATCCCCCCGTCTATTGACACTGCTGAGGCTGATTTGCATAAATTTAAACTTGCTGATTTGATTTTGTTCTATTTTTGAGTGGCAATTTCTGGTTTCCCTACTCTAGATAAAATTTTCAACCAACCAGTCAGTTTTGTGAAAAATGATACCCTATTCTAGACCCAAACGCTCTGATTTATATACCCTATCCTAGAGTAAACTGCTTGAAAACCATACCCTTCACAGCGGCACATACCTATATAGCCCATATATGGCAGTGCCCCCCCCCCTCCCCCCGGGGGTACAAGGAAGTTTGAGGCAATGTTGATGTTTTTGTTTTAGGAACTTACTTAGAAACAATGCGAACATCCGTGTACTTCTTTACTTTTGATAATTTGCCTCTTGATTGGTCTGTTCAGCATGCATCATCTGATGTGGAGAAAATGGTGCTGGGAAACAAGTGTGACATGGAGGACAGAAGATCAGTGTCTAAAGAAAGAGGAACACAGGTAGACTTACATGTGGCGTACACTGAAGTTTATAATTTTGGATGGTTTGTGTGGCATTGTTGAAACCCTAAGAAGAAGTTACATGTATGCTTAACTAAACAGCCAGGTTTTATTTTGTGAACTTTCTTGTACCTATGAGATGTACAAAAACAACTCTTGCATGCTTGTTGATCCAAAGTTAAATGATAAACAATTAATAGAGCATCACATGTTAGGCACATGGTTGTCCAGCATTAATTGCCGTGAAAAACATCTTGTGAGCGGATTTTCCCTTTTCCTGTCAAATGAGAGAAGCAAGGTAAACTTGTCCATTTTGACATGTAAGTACATGTAGCTTATGTTGTTTGTTTGATTTTAGTGTCCTATTTTATAAGTAAACATTTGGGAAACAGCAATAATGGTCTCGTATATCTTGCAGGAATGCACACTCTAATTTAAGACAGTCTAATCCATGCTGTTACTTGTAAAGGAATGTTCTTCAGTAATTTCTAAAATCTTAATGTTCTCTTGCAATTTGCTTGTACTGACATTTGACCTGTAGACTAGAAAACACTGCCATGTTTTCCTTGTCTGTCCATTTCCTGTACAGGGTCAGCTTAACAGTGATCTGGTATTGAACATACATGTAGTTCCTGCACTACTGTATCCATTAAGAGCTGGATACAAATGTTAAGTTACATCTAAATGTCATTATAGTCTACATCTACATTAGTCCATCTACATTATAACTGTTTGGCTGTATTTCATGTCTTGTCTCCTTTGCTGCAGTTGGCAACAGAATATGGAATTAAATTCATGGAGACAAGCGCAAAAGCTAGTATCAATGTAGAAGAGGTAAGTGAGTGTCACAGGCCATAGTGTTTATGTTATTAGGTTGCTTTAAATAAAGTAACCTTTGCAGAAAGTACAATGAAGAACTTCCATTTTATAACCTGATAATTGTTTTGTATCTGCAGGCATTTTTCACCCTTGCAAGAGATATAAAACTAAAAATGGACAAGAAACTGGTAAGTTTCTCTTCCAAAATCAAGTGTATCGTTATAGTACCTCTCTAGGGCTCGACACTAACTTTTCAACTTACTAGCCTAGTGGCTAGTGCTAACTTAGATGTTACTAGCCAAAACCTTCTTTCACTAGCCAAACATTGTGGTTGGCTACCTTATTACATTAAATTTTTGCAACATGTTTATTTTGCGATTTGGGGGTACGCATATTTCATGACACTTAAATTCAGCGGTTTTGCTAAAATTTTGTATTTTGAATCACTTTAACTTCGCGTTTTTGAGTAACACAAAATTTATTTCCTTGGCAATGTTACTTAAACATGTCTTTGAATTTAGTAAACTGACTTTATCAAAGGTACAATAATGTCAAAAGTAAAAATGTAAAACGCAATGGCGGTACTATATGTCAACAGTAACATTATGTGTTTTAAATCGCGAAATCCACCCAATTAATGTGTCGCGAAAATTTCAGGTAGGTCCAGTAACAACAGGATTACTAGCAAGACTTGAGAGCACAATGCAAGCGACTCTCTTTAATACATAATGTTGATAATTATACTGTACTTAAACTAGTTTCAAAACAGTTCTAGTTCCCGAAAAGACTTTCAGGACTGTTTTTCTCTGACACTTCCGTGGAAAAATATCGAGACCCCCAAGACATCACTGTAAAAACTGTCAAGACTTCTTCGTAGACAGGTGCCGTAGAATTGTTTCAAAAGCAAAACAACAATCTGAACAATACTATAAACTGTCGTTGGCAAAATTCGACTGCTAAAAACAGCTGGTTTAAATGTTGAAGGAAATAAATCTTTCACATCTAATTATTTCTGTAGTGGTAAGTTCGTAAGTATGCATACAACGACAAATCACCCATTTATTGTTACGCTAAGTGAAATGTTATCCCTTTACAGTTCCGCACTATTTTGCACGTGAAAAAAATTTTGTAACAAAAAAGAGCATTGATGTGTGCTTTCAGAAAATGCTGTCTTGTTAGTCAAATATTTCTTTCAACAAGATTAACATGTACAGTTCCCTGTTTACATACCACACAGCGAAGAGTAGACATACATGCTGAACAGCACATGCCTGGTACTGTACCATGATATGTCCACAATGAAATTCTGACATTGTTTCCGAGAAAAGTGTAAATTTTGTGTTTGTCTTCCTTGAGGAAGACAAACTAGTTCAGCCAATTTTATATTGCTGATTAGCCAAAGTGGCTAGCGGAAAGCAAAAACCTACTAGCCAAAACTACATTGTAAATTTCTACTAGTCTGTGGCTAGTTGGCTACCGTTAGTGTCGAGCCCTGCTCTTGTAAGCGACTGTGGCCACTTTTAGAGCTAAAAGTTTGAAATTTTCTTTTGTTTTTAACCTCCGGTAAACAACCATTTGACAGATAATAGAGCAGAAATTGGATAATAAGGAGTTGCACTCCTGGGTTGTTTAAGAGATGGAAATTCTCAAATGGGAATAACTGGAGTTTTTTCTTGAAATTGGCTTTTCACAAGGAAACACAGTTAAAAAATTAAAGAAAAAAAATGCACATATACTGTACTCTATTGATCAGTCTTAAATAAGGCAAAAGTTTGACTCAATATGGTCTAAGTTCTTGTAAGCCACCACCTCTCGTAAGCGACCGCCTAGGCTTGACATTTTGGGTGGTCGCTTACAAGAGGTTCAACTGTATTATCAATTAAGATGTCTGTGGTTACATTTATATACACTATTTATTTATTTTTTAATTTTTCAGGAACAATCAAGTCCCCAAGCAACATCAACAATCCATGTCACACAACAACCTAAACAATCCAGAGGGTTTTTTCGCTGCACATTATTGTAGAATATTAATTTTTAGAATTCTTTGTGCAAGTATCACTACGTCAAAATGTACTTGACAGTAGTGTTCTCCTTGCTTACATCAACAAGACAAGCTGTATTTAAACTGATGGGTCAAGGTGGTGGAAATGTGAACTTTACGCAAAAGAAGGCCATCTATCTGGGAAGTTGCTTGATCAGTAACGCAGACATGTGCATGCAACAGGGAGGGTGGTTGTAACACAGGCTTGTAACATGAAGCACTATTTGCAGTCCATCTTAATCTTGCCCAGTCTTGACTTTCCAGTCTCTTTTAGGACTTAAAATTGTCCTTAAGCCTCAGTGAACTATTGTTTTGAGGTGGCCTGTGATTGGAAGGTCATATATTAGTTTTGTATGTTGCTAGAGATGGTAACAAACAGTTTGATGTACAGTGCATGAGGCCTTTTAGATCAGATTTAACATGTTGAACATCAAGTTCCAGAGTTGAATGTGATTATAACAGACTGATGATTCATCTTGCTGTTTGCTAAGAAAAATCAGCAAAATGTATAAGCATTTAATTCCTACTAGAACGGTTTTCAATGGAGTGTTGTAAAACCAAAACCAACACCAAATCCAAATCAATTACCTACCAATTAGACTACTCAGCCAATCTCTATTCGTAGTAAATTAGTCCAAAACCAAAGTAATTTCCTGTTTCTTTTTGACACTCTATTGAAAACCCTCTCATTATAAATTATGAGACAGTCATTATATTTTTATAACAAAGTAAAAGTGCATGTAGGCAAGACATGAATGCAAGGCATGATCAGAGAGCTAAATTCTGTAGAGGTAATGGAGAATAATACGAAATGTTCATTTAAAAGGTGGTTAGGGGCGACATGCTAATCCCAGCCTAAAAGAGAGAAACAAAGCAGGATAATGGCACAGTTCCTCTTGACCCATTAGCTTACATATATGTGTCTGAGAAGCAAAGAAACTGCTAATGACCGGAAATACATGTTTTAGACATTTTTCAAATGGATAAGAACTACAGTTTACCGTCCAGAAACGTGAAATCTCATGAGTTGTGGATTGGAAGTTTTATATTATTAATATTTGTGGGATTGAAAGCCCACTGTAACTTACAACTTGCAAATTAACATTGAATATTGTATGTAGTAGAAGTAGAAAGGGCAGGGATAATCCAACTTATTATCTATAACTGAGAAAATGACTTCATTGTGATTGGCTGAGAGCAGGCCAATTTATCATTAATTTTTGATTTGCACTGCAGTGCAAATTAACTCTCACACTTTCATGATTTTCCCAGTCATACAACATATGAGTAAAAGTATGAAGGCTCGAGCAATAAGGATTTACACTACTCATGATATTTNAGTGCAAATTAACTCTCACACTTTCATGATTTTCCCAGTCATACAACATATGAGTAAAAGTATGAAGGCTCGAGCAATAAGGATTTACACTACTCATGATATTTGAAAATTTCAAATTGCACTTGCCTAAAGGTTTGCGTAATTTTGAGGTAATTTTCAAATATCTCTTGTAGTGTAAATTCTCAATTGCACTTGCATACCTATACAAATTTGAAAATAATTATGGGAAAGTACAGCTGTACTTGACATGTATGTATTGATTTCGTAAAGCTCTAAAATTTCATTAATGCCTCTTCCCATGAACAGAGATTCTTTGTCTTGGACGTTTACCAAAATGAGAGTTCAATCTTTTTACTGCACTGTTTGATTTTCTCTTTGGTCAAAACGTTTGCAAACTTCCTACATCTGATTGGCTATCAGCAGGCACGATTGTAGCCCCAGTAGGACACTGTGCATGCTTGTAATTGGACAGTGTAGGTGTCTTGTGTAATTGTACCTAGTACATTTCATTTTGTGCATCCTGAATGTTGGACTGTCATATGTGTCATGCAAATCAAAACTACCATTTGTTTTCCATTGTCATTTCCAGTTTGTTTTGAAACCCTGCGACAATCATAGTTCAACAAAATTAAATCTACAAGCCATTACAGTGGCTTAGATAATTATATGTACCTTTAACAATTAGATTATGACCTTGAGATTTCTATCATGTGATAGTTGACAAGGGGGGCTGCCCAAGTCAACTATCACACATAGAGATCGAGAGCATAATCTATTTGTTTTAGTATAATCTACTAGTCATTCAAAACTTTATCTAAATCCTCTTTGCAGTCACTTTGAAAACACAAAGAATCAGCCATCATTTTGTTAACTGCACACTGCTAGCCTACTCACTCTCTACAACAGAATAGATAGTGAGTAGCATAGCTAATCAGAGAACGGCTTTCCTGATGAAATGCCAGTAGATTTGTACTAATTATGCATAGTAACCTTCTACCTTTACTTGCAAGAATCAAGCAGTTCAGTAAAAAGGTTCATTACCCCTTGGGAGAGGTAAAGAAGAGACTCTGTGTTATGCATGTTTTGCCTCATGCCATTTACATAAAGCTACTGAAAGCTAAGGTGAATAGATTTTTTTATCCGAGTGTTAAATGTCTTCGCTTGAATTAGTTTTCATAAAAATGTTATGTATAATGAGTTATAAAACGAACTGGCCTTTGATTACAAAGCTACTAAAGGCTGGTTTTCACTAGCAACGGAGTCGGAGCTGTAGTCTGAGTCATAAGAGAGCTTATGACCTAGTGAAAATCGAAAATTGGGTTTGTAAGTGGAGTCAAAAACTCGACAGAATCGGAGTCGGAAGAATCAGAACGTTTCCATTTCTTACGACTCTGTCACTAATGATCTAGTGAAAACTAGATTGTCACAGTCGGAAGCGGAAGCAGAATGACTAACCAATCACAAGGCCTGGAATCAAGCATTGTGATTGGTTAAATCTTCCACTTCTGCTTCTGACTCCAACAATCTAGTTTTCACTAGATTGTAAGCGACAGAGCCATAAGCGGAATGAGTGTTCTACTTCCAACTCCGTCAGTTTTGATTTTCACTAGATTGTATCACTCTACGTTTCTGATTGCAAACTATGCTTCTGACTCCAACTACGAACTCCATCACTAGTGAAAATCAGCCTTAAGAAATATTATATTGTTTGGTTTAGACTCTTCCTTTATGAAATAGATATTACCATCAATTTATTTCCCTGGTTTTTTCTCCCCAGTTAGGCTTGTAACCCAGACAATTATTAGGCTAACTATAAACAATTTGTTGCCTACGAAGATGTGTTACTTCACCTGGCTAAGATGTATTCTTTGCCTAACAAAGATTCTATTCTACAATAATACGTACCTTAAGGAGATGACATTCTCTGCCTAGCAAGATTCATCTGAATCAGGGTGCCATTCTCTGCTTATTACTCTCATTACTTCGTTCATTTGGCTAATGGTTCTTAACAATATTAGCCTAAGCTATGACTACAAAAAACAAAAATTGTTCCTGAAGCCATTTTTAAGTCTTCCATATTTTGCTGTTGTCTTCCACCCCACATGCCTGCACATGTACCTCAAAGCCAATTATATTTTTTGTTACAGCAATACAACTGGGAGACTAAAAGATCTAAATGTTTGTATATTTGGGGTTACTTATAGAAGAATGCCCCATGGTGCTCACATTGCGGTTTTCAACCATTTTTGGTTTTCAACTTATCTGCTTTTCATCACACTCAAGTTGATTCCAATTAGGGCAGTAATGTTCTAAATTATGGCGGTGTTTTTTGGTAGTTTGACATGACTAAGTAGCAGAGATTGAAAATATCAATTCCTTATTTTTCTGAACTTTAATTAAGTTTGTTTATGAAAATTAATGTCAACAAGTGTAACAAAACAAAGTGTTGCCACAGTTAACACAAAATTTTAAAGGAGCTACATCAAGTTCATACTTTGCAATCTGTGTTAATCTTCTCCATCCTTAACTGTCCTTGTTCTTTGATTGTTTATTGTTATCTCTTTGGTGTTTTTCTTACTTTGTAAACTACTATTTTCAGGTTTGCTTCAGTTTAAATGTAATTTTGTGCATGTCCAAAAATATTCAAAATACCATTACTGAGCTCCTTTAAATTCAGTCTCAAAACATTTATTAATTGGATGATGTGGGCGTGCTAGTGCTTCCATAATCTAGATTTGCCATGGCAAATAGACTGTCTCCTCTTCAATCATATACGCTTGTAAGTACATTACGGTCTTCTGATGGCCTCTAAGGGAGAGTTCTGCTCCCCCCCTGGGGATGGGCGAGGGTCTGGACCTAAAATGTCTGTAATTGAGACTATTAATCTGTAAAGTATTGAGGGAATTAAGCATTAATTATTAGCTAAGATTAAATGATCATTGTTGAAGGAGATGTTCGTTACCTTCTCTTCTGTACCAAAATTAAAGTTATAGAAGTTTTTATAAAGAATGTCTGATATTTGTCTGAATCCATGTTTAGATTCCTGAAAACATTATGCTGATTTTTCTCTTCACCTTCCCTGCTACGCCCAGTTCTCCTACAGTAAAACCTATTACACTTGCAATTAAAGAGGTCACTTCCGAGTTGCCTTATATCTCTGTCACAACCTTTCATATGGAAAAGAATTTGATTTGCATGACAATGAACTTGCAAGAAAAGCTCATTTCCCTTTGAAAAGTTGTGTGCCAAGACTCGTTTTGAAACAGGTAAGGGAACTCGAAAACTAATTATTGTAATATTCTGGGGCGGATCAAGGGAGGGAGGGGGCTTGGTCAAACCCCCTAAATTTAAAAAAAAAATGAGTCGTTGGAGTGCTCGTCTCCGGATCGAGCGGTCCGGGTTCGAGCCCTGGCCGGGGACATTGCGTTGTGTTCTTGGGCAAGACACTTTACTCTCACAGTGCCCCTAACCCTCTCTACCCAGGTGTATAAATGGGTAAGTAAAGTAAGTAAAATCCTTCACTTAAAACACGATTGCTGGGGGTAACCCTGCGATGGACTAGCATCCCATCTAGGGGGGAGTAGAAATACTACTAGTCGCTTCATGCTACAGAAACCGGCATAAGCTCCGGCCTGGTGGGCCACTTGGCCCGTATGCAGGCTTAACCTACCTACCCATTATAACGCGCTGACTATGCCTCAGAATGCCGGAAACGGGAAATCTTATTTCCGAGAAATTTTCCGCGGGAGGATGCCCTCGGACCACCTTTGGCGGTCCCTGTCTCGAACCCCCTTCTCTAAATTCTTACATCCGCCCCAGAAGTTTGTTTTTGAAAATTAATAAAAACTATTAATCAAAATACCAATTAAAACCATTAACCCTTTGAATACCATCTACGCATATGCGTAATTGATGGTCGTGTTCTTTGTACCACTTGTGACGTCATCAATTTAAATGTCATCAGATATTCTGGATAAGCAGATAGTAGTACTAGGCTAGGCCTTTCCGCACAATGGTCAGGTTTAGATATCGACGACATTCCGACGTCGCAAATCGAAAAAGAACATTCAATGCAAAAGGTAGCCAGTGTAAAAGGGCCGAGAAAAACGGAAAGGAAAGGGGCAACAAACAAAATTGAGAACGGTTAATGGCAAAAAGAAGTCCAAATTTTGGCTTATGCGCATGCCCGGAATTGAAATTTTGCTCAATTTTGT